TTAACGAGGCCTTTGCTTTGTTCAAGCACATGTAGTAAAAAGGGCCTAAAGTTGGAAAGCATTTCAGAAATGGTCCTAAAATCCAAACATCAGTTGGATATCAAAGTGAAGTGTTGAGTTCAGATATTCAGTAGATTTTCAGTATATTACCAGATTAAAGCTCCTCCCTCTCATTGACATCATATGTATTCGTTCTTCCTTTACTACTATTGTTGTTCCTCTGGACCTCCTTTCACCCCGATACCTAAGAAACCTGCTTTAGATCCAATAACTTTCATCCCATCTCAAATCCTCCATTCATTTCTAAGATTCTTGTAAAACAGTTTCTGCCCGACTTCATTCAGCCATAATTTATCTGAACAAATCCAACCTGGTTTTGGTCCACAGAACCAATCAGCGCCTCTTACCGTCCTCCTTGCTACTGACTGGTTGATCATCCAAACTCCTTCTGCTGGATCCGACTTAACCTTGATGATCCTCTCGGTGTTTTAATTCACTGGTTTCATTCGTTCCTCCGTTTGTTCAGCTACATCCTCCTTGTGACGGGTTCTCATATGACTTGGACAAACAGAAATATGACTGCCCAAGGCCAGAGTTCACTTTGGTGAAATTTATTTAGCTCTTCAAGTGGTCAAGATGGCAGGTGCAAAAATATATACAAGGACGTCCAGATAGGTCAAAACAAACAGCAGAACCTTCAATGCAAGAGTCCATCACCTTCACTGTGACATGGCAGGAGTCCAGCCACAGACTGCAGAGCCGTGCTTTTAAAGCCACAGGCTCCGCCCACAGGAAGACCAAACAAAAACAATTACTTCTAACTCACATAAACTCTTAAAGGGTACAAAATAATAATAATAAAGAGAAAAACAGAAACGTGTAATCAAGAATACAATAATCAATTTAATAATTTCATAGAGAACACTCAGTACGTTTCGATGACGTCATCACCTGACTCCTGGCGCGCCACACCTGGAAATAACCTGCTTGAAAACAAAACCAGTAAAACGTTTGGAAGTGAAAACAGGTCAGGATGGATGCCAGTCTTATTTTCTACTCAGTTTTACTATGTTTGTTTGTTTTTATGTCAAGGTGACCTTGAGTGTCCAGAAAGGCCTGCAGATAAAATGTTTCATTATTATATTTATTGTTATTGGGTTGATTTTACATTGATTCATGTCAACATAAAGAGTTTAAACATGATAAAACGAGGATCAGACGTTGATCAGACGTTGATCAGACGTTGATCAGACGTTGATCAGACGTCGGCATTTCAGTCAGAATTTGGCCACATATCAATGTTTGTTCAATGAATCTTTTCAAATCAGTTTATTGGGTTTGATAAAATATTACTGTGATGTTACATTCTAATATTTCTGTCTATAACTGATTGATTGATGTTTGATCCATTGATCCTCTGTTACCTGTCAGGTGAGTCTCTGTCCTCCTCTGTGTCTCTTCCAGAGGACAGACGGAGACACTGAGGACGTCCTGCTGCACTTCCTGTTGTCCCTCTGTAGTGGTGATGTCATCGGGGAGCAGGTGATCCTTATCTGCAGGAAGCGGACCAATCAGAGCCCAGCAGGTAGGGACGGTCAGCAGAACCTGCTGGACCCGGTCCAGAGGACTGACTGGTTCTGACCCGGTTCTGTCTCCATCAGAGGTGAGACGCTTCAGCAGAGGAGACAGAGACTTCCTGACCAGGAGGCTCCGCCCCCTGCAGCTCACCTGTTCTCACCTGGAGCTGCAGAGAGACTCATGATGAACCCGAGTCTCTGATTGGTTCACTGATCTGCTGCTCACCTGGAGAAAAACTGAACCTGTTCACCTGCTGAACCTGTTCACCTGCTGAACCCGTTCACCTGCTGAACCTGTTCACCTGCTGAACCTGTTCACCTGCTGAACCTGTTCACCTGGATGTTTAACTGGGTCACTAAATGTTCTCAGTCTGACAGAAACACGTGGACCAGGTGAGTCCACTGCACCTGGTCCAGTGGCTGAGTGTCATCACAGGTCTGTCAGGATGAAGGCTGGAGGACTTGGACTAGGCCACATACGGTTTTTTATCATTAAAAACATTAATTCTTCTGAATTGTTGTGTTTTGGTGTGATTATGTCCTCAGGTGATGTTTCCAGTTGGATCAATACTGATTAGTTCTTAGTCGTCATGGTGTGTAACCATAGCAACAAGATGTTATCATGGCTGATTAACATGTGGACGGGTCCATAAGGCTGCAGAACAGAACCAGGAGGGAACAGAACCTCCATGACGAAACTCTGCAGATCAAACCGTCATGAGGATCCAGGTGAGTCGGTTCGTCTGTCTCACCTGGATCCTCTGGTTCTGACTCAGAACCATCAGAACCCTTTAAAGATCTGAGGAATCTGACAACAGAACCGGGTCAGACCGGGTCATCAGTTCAGGCTGCAGAGTTCAGGCAGCACCAGAACCCGGTTCTGTTTGAACCCTGGTTCTTCTTTTTCTGATCCAAACTGGACCTCAGAACCAGAGAAGTTCTGGTTCTGATCCAGTGGACCCTCTTTAGCCATCAGAACCAGTTTGATCCAGTCTGGGTCGCTCACAGTGCCACCATCAGGGTTAAAATGTTACTGCAGGTTTACTGGTTTAACTGGATCAGAACCGGGCCTGCTGGTTCTGATCCAGTTCATAACGACACTAGAGGTTCTGATGGTTTATTGATTTTATTTCAGGTCCAAACATCAAAGAATAAAATCTGATTATTGATGAAGATGATTAGAGGAAGAGAAGCAGCCGGGCCACCAGAACCAGAACCGACCCACAGAACCGGGCCAGATGGAGAACTGGATCCTCCTCTGAGACGTTCTGGTTCTGGGTCAGATGGTCCAGTTCAGCAGGAAGCAGGGGGAACCAGAACCTCCATCTGGGCTCAACTGGTTGGAACCAGAATACGACCTGGAAGAGAAACAATGGACCGGGTCAGAACCTGGTACTGGTACTGGATTTAGAACTGGTTCTATCCTGGTCCTGATTGGTTCTGGTTCTGATTGGTTCTGACCTCTGGCCTTCCTCTTGTAGTAGATGAATCCAGCCAGAGACAGGATCAGACCCAGGATCAGTCCTGAAGCTCCGATGGCCAGTTTGTTCCTCTCTGAGTCCGGCATGGACGGGTCTGAGGGACAGAGAGGACAGGAGGACAAGTTAGGACAGGAGGGGGACAGAGGGACGGAGACATGAGGACAGATAGAGACAGGTGGACATGTCTCTACTTGTCCCCAGGTAAAAACAGGTGGACAGGTGTCCCTCCCCAGGTGTCTCCATCGTCCTCCTTCTTACCCCAGTCGGTGACCAGAGGCTCCTTCAGGCTGGCGTGTTCCACCCTGCAGGAGATCCGCTCTCCAGACCTGCAGAGACAGGAACAGAACTGGGTCAGAACCAACAGAACCGGGTCAGAACCAGCAGAACCGGGTCAGACCTGAGAGGTTCTACTGGTTCTGGCTGTAGTAGTTTTGGTTGTAATGATTCTGTTTCTACTGATTCTGGTCCCAGTGTTTTTAATGGTTCTCCCGGTTCTGGTTCTGACCCACCTGGGCGTGTACTCCAGCGTTGAGTGGACCTGGTAGTACCAGTCTCCGTCCTCCATCTCGTCAGTGGTGGTGACGTCTGATGTCACTTCCTGTCCGTCTCTCAGCCACCGGACCTTGATGGTTTTAGGGTAGAAATCATAAACCCTGCAGACCAGCATGGAGGGGTGGTGGCCAGCAGGGGGCGTCCTGGAGTACAGTCTGACTGTAGGCTCAACTGGAGGATCAATAACAGGTTATTGGTTTGTTATTAAGGTCAGATTGGGATCAATACATTATTTATTCATATGATCTCTGGATGTAACAGGAAGTATTCATATTATTATATCAATATTATCAGTTTCTGTATTGATTATTGATGATAAAACCAGTTTAACTGAAGCTGCTGGGAGGAAATGAGACCAGATTATTACATTTACTGGTTATTGATCCAAACTGATCAGTTTTATGTAGTTATCAATAATAAATATAAACAGACCAGAGTTCAGATCAACTACAGTTATAGATAAATCATAGATTATCAATAATAGATCTGGGTGTTATAGAATGGGTCCATCTAGAACTTCAATAAGTTTATATCTATGATCATTTTATTTTTCTGATTGTTTCCTGATTTAATTGATTCTTTAAAGTTTCTAATGTTATAAATATTTCAATAATTTAATATTGATTAACTCTAGTAGTGTTATTGATCAGTAGTATCAGCTGTGATTGGATCTCTATAGATCAGCTGATCAGATCCATGATCAAAGATCAATATTGATCATTTGATGATCAGATCAGATTTTAATGTTGATCAATAATAAGTGATGATTGAACCATCCAGTTTAATGATCATCAGTCAGAATCGATCAGAGGATCAATGAGGAAACGATCAACTCACCTGATTTAGTCAGCATGTTTGGGTACCAGTTACCGATGTTGTACTGGCAGTAGGTCTCCTTCATAGCTTTTGTCCTAGCAATCTCTGACTGATCTTTGTTCCAGATCTCAGCCTGCCTCACTCCTGCCGCTGTGTATCCAACAAACTTCCCCACATTGCTGTCAAACCTGGCGTACTCCAGCTTGTTGTAGTAGTTAGACCAGATGTACTGGATGTCGTTCAGCTCAGTGGAGTTA